GTACTATGTTGTGGAGTCCTTTGGGACATCCTTTAAAACTGGTCGAGGAGCGATACAGAGAAAATGCATGGCCCCCTGCGCACTCAACGATGACACACATAAACCGAGAAATGTCCATCAGTCAGGAGCTGATGAGGTGTTTGCCTGCTGGACGTTCTTTCGCAGCTCCTTTGTCTGGAGGGAAGATCCATCTGTCGTGCGCTACAGCTCATCAAGGATATCAATCTGACGGTTGAAAACTTTCGGCAAGGATTCCCTCTCAGCATGCAGATGAGGAGTAACCACTTGCAGGACTACCGTCAGATCTCTGAATGCCTTTCGGCCGCAAGGGAAAGGGTTGAGCAAGATGCCAAGAGACTTCCCAAATATAAGACAGAATTGCTGCAACTAGAGCAGCAGGCGGAGGAGGACGACGACGACAACACCGAGGATGACGATGGTGATGATGATGACAATGATGACGATGATGATGACGAGGAGGAGGAGAAGGAGAAGGAGAAGGAGAAGAATGAGGACCAGGAGCAGCCGAAAGAGATAAAAGTTGGCAGGGAAGAGGAAGAAACGAAGAACATAAGAGGACAGGAACCGAAACATGAGCGAAAAAAAGTCAAACAGAGTAGAGAAGTCAAAGCCTCCATCATTGGACTGCAACAGAGTGTCGCGAGGCAATTGGGGGATGTGGGGGTCCCTGTGGGGAAAGAAGCATCAGCACGACTCTCGGGCACTGGCGACACGACCCTTCAGACCCAGGATGCGATCGGCGCATCCATTGACGTCAATGGTGGAAGGTCAATTGGTGACGTCATACCCATCAAAAGCGAAGGAGATGACATGCGTGTTTCAATTGGTGTGATTGGAGGGTCTGAGGACAGAGGTTTGGAAAAGGTGGGGGGGGTAGTTCAAGAGGAAGAGGGGGAATTTTGGAGTTTGGATCGCCAGAGGGCTTGGGAGGAAGCCATTGTGGAGTGGGAAGAAGATGATGACATTGCCATTTTGGGGTTTGACGCTTTCAAAAGTCAAATTCAAAGTGAGTCACAGTACATACTTCCTAATTTGGAGGGAAGTGAAGATCGGCGCTACAGACTTGAGGACAAAATGACAGCCACAGATGAGGTGAGAATCGAATTCAAATTTCAATAAATCTTTCTGTGACTTCAGTTCCGCTGCAAAATTAAAGGCTTGTGCACTCGCCCCCTTTGTCTTCTTTTTTTTTTTCCCTTCTTTAAATTCATCTCCAATCTCTTGATCTCGAGCGACACCTGCTGGGAACCAGGTCCAGGGGGGGGAGGGGGAGGAGACGGGAGAGGGGAGGGGGGGGAAATACGGCCTTGGCCAGTATTAGTAGGTTTCGAATGAGAGTGTCGCACGGAGCAGCACCTGCCAGGGAGCGTGTCCCGCAAATCGACTAGTTCATGTACCACGAGAGTCAAAGAGACCCTTGACAGCAGGAAACTGTCTCATACTTTTCAGACACACACACACACACAGGGGGAGAG